CAAAACAGAAAAACAATATGGAGCCCTGCACCCTGGACACGTGAAGCTTGAACCCTAGGGTTTCTGTGGGCCCTCTGCCTTTCAAAGCCCGACGACATAGGGGGAACGAGAACCCAAGAGTTGTTTTATATTCAACCTGGGTGGGCGGGGGGGGGGGCATTCTGGTTCAAGCTTCAGACTGACATGCTCGAAGATTTCTGGGTTTCAGTGCTGTTCTTTTGTTTGGGGGGGGGGGGGGGGGGGGGGGGGGGGGGGGGGGAGGCTCGGGATCCGTGTCGAAATCGCGTAAACCTTGAGCCCCTGGACCCTACAACTCTGAAACCAGAACCTTCCAACCCTCAGACCCCGAGCCCCTGCACCCTTGCAAGCCTCAAAACTCAAAACCCCCAAGCCTTGGAACCTTAAGCCCCAAAAGCTGAAGCCAAAAAGCAACCACATCTATACACAAAGAAACAGAACTCCCAGCCGACGAGAAATGCACCACCACTATTGACCACATGGGATACTGGTGATCATATTCGGGTCCCATGATTCCTAAACCTTGAACCCAAAACCTCGTATGTATCAAAAAGCCCCAAACCCCATACTCGAAACCGCGAAGTCCTAAGACCTGCGAAGCCCGAAAAGGAATATTCCAACCTAAAAGGAACGCTGGCTGCCTGCACCGAGTCTGATACTCTCCTCTCTTAAGATTGAACCCCCCCAGTGGTCCTAATGCAACGAGACTTTGACAATGCATGTGCCTTGCAGTACCAGTTGTTTTAACTGGGGGTATATGTGATGTCGGGGTGGCAAATTTCAATAGGTGAGAAGAGGAAGGGGGGGTAGAGCCGGGTAGAGCCGGGTAGAGCCGCACCACACAGCGGCCTGCTCCGCTTCTTGAGCTTCGATGCTGGCCTGCACCTGCAGGTGTCAGAGCGTACGTCGGATTTGGGCTCAGATCGAGAAAACCCCGTGCCTTTTGGGCCGCATATGGTTCATGCCGTTGGGCCACAGGTTAAACTCTGCAGCATTAACATGGCAATGCCCTCATACATCCGACTGCATTCTCCCAGCCCTGACCACACTCGTCTGCCTGCACGCGGACGGGTTCGCTGCTGGTCAGGACGGTCTGGACATTCTTGACCTTGTTGGCTAAAGCTGCTTCCGCTCCGCTTCCCTTGATATCCCGTGCGGAGCATCAAGGAGCGCAGGTTCTGGCTCTGGTGGACGTTTCTGCAGCACTGTCACTATAAATACTCTGCTGGCGCGAAAGCTCATCACGCTAAGAGCTGCGCAGTGAACTGTCCAGCTGCCTGTGGTGCCTGCCAGAGTCGGCCACCAGCTTTCTACAAATTGAACGTACCCCAGTCCCACCAGTACCCACCATTACAAACTATTGTCAAGCATTACCCCACCATAGCCCTGCATTACCCACCATTGCCCACCACCCTTCGCCATTCCAACCATTTCCCACCTTTCCCCACGATTTCCGCCATTCCCACCACACATCACTGTAGTGCACCAACAATGCATACGAGCATACTGTCTTTTGGCGCTCGCTGCCTACAACTTCTGTCACAAAACTCGGGCCTCAGAACAATCAGACCTGCTGGGCCATGCCGCTTCCGAGAGCTGTGCTTCCAAACGCTTGCCGATCGTTTCTGCGTGCATGAGCCAGAACTGTTTCTCTGATGCCTACAGCACAGTCAACAACGCATGTTTGCGTCAATGATTTGTCTTGATGTTGCATGACATTGAGTGAGTGCAGTTTGCATTGGTTTGTGTATCAATCAAGTTCTACCACAACATACCACGACCACACACAGAATGACTATGGCGCTGTGGCACATCTCTCAACAATTCACCAAAATCACGCTGGTTCCGTGATCCTCGCGCGCGCGAGCGCGGGCGCGCGCGCGCGCGGGTGCGCGTGTCCGTGTGCGTGTGCCTGCGCCTGTGCGTGTGGGTGTGGGTGCGGGTGTGGGTGTGTGCGTGTGCGTGTGCGTGTGCGCGTGGTGCGCGTGGTGCGCGTGGTGCGGGTGGTGCGCGTGGTGCGCGTGGTGCGCGTGGTGCGCGTGGTGCGCGTGTGCGTGTGCGTGTGCGGGCGCGCGTGTGCGGGCGCGGGTGTGTGTGTGTGTGTGTGTGTGTGTGTGTGTGTGTGTGTGTGTGTGTGTGTGTGTGTGTGTGTGTGTGTGTGTGTGTGCGCGTGCGCGTGCGCGTGCGTGTGCGTGCGTGCGTGCGTCAGTGAGTGAGTGTGTGGGGATTATGTGCATCTCTCATGTGCATTCCTCGAAAGCTGGGGAATAGAACTCAATCATCTGCTTGGGTGGTCTCATGTCTCGTGAAGGCAGCCAGAACTCCCTGCTGCAAGCATCGACTCAAAATGTCCTGCCTCCAACCTCCACGGCAGCGTGCACGTGACACCACGACGCCCCACGCCGCCGACGGACATTTGCATTGCGACTATATTTGCATTGCAACTACTACCACTATGCGGGAGAACTTTTTCCTCTGGTCAGTGACTGCCTGACAGTCACATTATGCCCTCGGTCTGACCAGGTACAACACTTCTGAGGTTCATCAGCGGACTGGACCTGATGCGACTAAACATGCTGTACAAGCCACAGCAATTCAACAACAAACGAGGGCCACACCGGCAAATGCTGCAGCTCAATAATGCAACAAGACCCTGCATGCAACGGAAATGCCGGCCGGATCTAAGACGTCACCAGAACCCCGGCCCCCCCCCCCCCCCCACCTTCCCGAATACTGCGCTTATCATGCCGATGGTCACCCCGCAACTATGCAACACAATCTTAAAAACCCTAAGCCACCAGACAATCTTATCGAACCTGAAACCTGAGCCCTAAACCCTGGACCCTGTAGTCTGAACGCCCTATAGCTTGGGACTTGGACTTGTGCGCTGCAAATTCGCCCCGAACCCGAGCTGAGAATGAAAGCTACGACTTTCTTGCGCCTTTCGGAATTCAGGGTTGTAGGCTCATAGGGGTTTCGAGTTCTAGGGGCTTCGGGGTTAAAAACTTTACGGTCTAGGGTCCAAGGCTCCACAAGATCCCGTGCAACCATCCCCCACCGCTACGTTCAGTGCCTACCATTTAAGGGTTTAGGGTTTAGGGTTTAGGGTTTAGGGTTTAGGGGCACTTAAGGGAGGTAGGCCGAGTCAACCTTAGGGCAGCTTCTGGAGAGAATATTCGACCCTAGTACCAAAGCCCTGGCAACCCTAAACCTTAAGAAGCCTAAGCCAAACACCCCTAAAGAAGCAACGCTCATAGTTATACCCTAGTGACCCTAAACCCTAGTAACCCTAAAAAGGCCCTCGTAGCCCTGAACCCTAAGAAGCCCAAACCAAAAAACCCCTAAAGAAACAACCCTCACGGTTTCTCGGGAAGATTGAGCTACCAGCTGCCTGCCACTCGCCGGGCCCTTTGGCGCGTTGGGGAGCTCCCTGGGCTTCGTGCCGATGGTGAGGGTGTCCACTGAGGGTTTAGGGCTTAGGGGTGCCAGGGTTTAGGGTTTAGGGAGGGTTTACAATGTTCAGGCGGTGTATAACAGGGTTCATGGCTGTTCAAAACTCCGTAGTGGGACACTGCGCCATGGGTGTATGTGGCATCACGCCGTGGTTGTCACACAGTTCACGGATACACGCCTCCATTTGAGGGTTTTTTTTCTGCACGGGATTTCCTGTGAAGCCTACTGCTCGCAATGTATCGTCTACCATGCCGAATGGCAAACACACCATTCTGTGATCTTGGCCGGTGCGTCACTGGCCAGTGAAACAGCGACTCACAAGGCCTTTGCCTCAGCAGCTGGCCTTCGTCATCTGACGCGGAGAACCGCCGGAAGCTCTTGTTTTCACACAGGGACTGTATTTTGAGGACTGCCTCCTGGGCTCCGATTTTGCCCTCGTAAGTTCTGAAAAGCAAATGAGGCCCTTAAATCCTAAGGCCTTACCCTGCAACCTTAAACGGTGCATGTTATGCTGTAATCACAATGGGATAACACGGCGATATTCGCCCTCACTAGTGGCAACGCTAATCCTTGCAAAAGAAGCCGAATTCCCGAACTCCTAATCCTAGGACAGTAGAATGCACCTAAAGGCAACTGGACTTGAGTCTCTTTCTGAAGTGCAGGTTAGGCTTTAGGGTTTTCTAAAGTGGGGTGTCTTGGCAGGGAGTATACTTCTGCGATGGCTCAACCTCCAAGGAAGGGCGCTACAAAGGCCTCGAAGATACACACCCCTACTATCCGGGCCATGGTCTCCAGAGGCCCAGACTCCGCAGTGTGAAAGGCTTTTGGCACATCTTAGAATCTTGAACGCATGCTGCGAGGGCTCTACGAATGCCTTCTCCATCATGGAACTTCCACGTTACTTACACACATCACGTGCACATACCAACACATATGTACGTGCATGTGGATACATACATGTATGCACACGTATGTACGTACGTACAATCCATCCATCCGTCCGTCCATACACGCGTACATATTTATAAGTGTCGATTCTTACATGCTTGCCTATATGTTTGTGTATACATACATAGGTGTGCGCGCTACATTCCTGTAAATTGGTTTGTATAATATTTACAGACAACTCCATACCCTTCCGGTGGTTGGAGCGAAACTCCCTCGGCCACCTGCTTGACCACATTGCCAGGAACCGTCACACTTAGCCGGCCGGTCAAGAAAACAGAACTCGGATGAAGCAGCAGCCCAAAATCCTTCCATGTGCTACGCCGACTACTCCCTGGACAGGACAACTAGGACGACGAGAACCATCGAGAACAAAGTACCATTGTCAAGGTCAAACGATGGAAGGGCCCAGCCCGAGAAAGTCAAGCTGCACAGGCATCCCTACTTCTGAGGGTGGTGCGCGAGCAAAACTGCAAAAGGATAGGCATCCGGAGGTTCGGCATTTGCAGTGGTCGACTCTTTGCGGATGTTCATCGATCATCCAGCGGCATGGATAAGCGCGTGAATCTCACTCTCTGCAAAGGTCAGTCTGCTCTCAGTCTGCGCCTCTTTGCGCGAAGCATGCTCTCAAGCTGGGTAAGGCCACCCTCGACTGCATATTCCAGGGCCGTGCGGCCATCATTGTCGGTTGCTGCCCTGTCAGCACCAGTATCGAGAAGCAGCCGCGCCGTATCGATCGCTGCCTCCTCCTTTTCAAGCCAGTAAATGTTTGAAGCATGGTGAAGGGCTGTAAGACCGTTGTTGTCGGAGACACCGTGATGCGCCCCAGCATCCAACAATAGGCGCACCATGTCCACATGGACATTTGCTGCGGCACTGAGAAGAGGTGTGAAACCCTCCTGATCGGCAAGCTCCTTGTCAGCGCCCGCTTCCAGCAAGACACGGGTTGTCTCCAGGTGACGAAACTTCGATGCCACTTCGAGAGGTGTGGAGCCGCTGTGGTTGCAGAGGTCTTTGCTTGCACCCGCCTCCAAGAGCTCGCGCACCACGTCGGCACGGCCAAGATAGGATGCAGTGCGAAGAGCCGTGGAACCGTTGCCGTCGGTCGAGTCCTTGTCTGCACTGGCCTCTAGAAGCAAGCGAACCACGTCTGCACGGCCTACCATGGATGCCGAAACAAGCGGCGGCAAGCGTCCGCCCCGGGGTCCGCCGAGGTTGGGGTCTTGCGGCAGTTTGAGCAGCTTCTCAACATCCAAGATACGGCCGTCGGCTACAGCATCTGTCATTTCTTGCCTCTGCTCGTCATTCGCTGCGATGAAGGGCAACACAACCATCTGGACATCAATGGGTGATGTCAGCTCGTCAGCATCCTCCAGCACAGCAGAGCCTTTCAAAAGCCTCTGCCGAAAACGTGGCACCCCACAGAGTCGGCACAACTCTCTCTTCAAGCTTTTGACGTCCGTGAGCTGATGCATGGCTATGGCGGCCACCTCTTGGCCGGAAGGCCTCCATACATGCAACATGCAGACCGTGCTGTGGGATCCTACCATTTACGGGCACGTAGGATAAGGATCCGAGTACTTTGAGTTCATTCTTTTTGAGGTGCTTATAATCAGGACTTGATTGTTTGACCACGTTCGATTTTTTTGGCATTCTGAGATTCAAGGCGTGTTCTAGCTCTACATGCAGTCTGGGGTATAGGGTATAGGGCATCGAATGATGTCAGATTTTCTCGGTCGGCGTGATCAGTTTGAGCACTGGCATCAGATGGAAGTCATTAGTGGTCGGAACGACTACTCATACTTACAAGAGGACTTGGGTAATTGTGACGATGGTACCTTTGCCCAGAAAGAAATGTCCACAGCATAGCCTTGCCTGGAGCTGTAGCTTTGACCGGGGTCCTGACTTTATGTTTTTCCTTGTGAGGCGGCTTAGAGCAAGCCTCCCCCTATTTAGGCAAAAGACTCCGTTCACCACCCTGCAATGCACATCTGGATGATCAGGCCCAATCTTCGAACATCCCAGGCTGCAGGGCAGGATCGCGGCTTGCTGCACACACGATGCAACTACGTCCCAAGGTTCGAGCCATGCAGAGTCGGGCCCGACGGGTCATGCCTCAGCTTTCGCTTCTCTGGCATTCTGCTCTCGCTTTCAAGCACTGTGGGTGCTCATGCGTCGGAGCGACTCAAGGCGCGACAATGTGGCTGCGAGAAAAAAAGTCCCATGCAACTTTAGGCCCCGGGTGCACCCTGAATCCGTTGAACCCAGGACCCCGAAGCCCAACTCCGAAGCCCAACTGTGCAACTTGTGACCGGCAACTCCGGCGACTTCAAGGTCGCGAAAACCTGCAACTCCCCTCCCAAAGGCCCCAAAAGCCTCAACCTCTCAAAACCTCACAAACACTTCTCAAGCCTCGAAACACAGCCGGCCCTCAACTCGAAAATCCCCTGGGGCCTCTCAACAGCCTCTCAATCCCCTTATAACCCCCCAAGGCGGTGTCCCGCAGCTCGGAAGCCGCGTCGGATCCGGGCTTCGAAGGGTTTCTCAGGGGCTTGGCTTCCTGAGGCTTTGCAGCCTTCAATGGGCTGCAAGCAGGCTCAAGTTCCCAGTCTTCGAAAACCCTGCGCTTCTCAAGGCATGGGACCTGCTGCAGACTGTCGTACCCCCTTCTTTCCGCGGCGCCTAGGGCGCGCGCTTCGCGGGGCTCGCTCGAAACCCTGGAAATCGCCAATAAATCGGCCAATGAGTCGAATGAAGAGAAAGGATCAGAGACTAGAGACTGGCTGGTTAAGCAAAAAGAGTGGAGGAACAGCTAGCAAGGTTTTTGGTCAAAGCGGCACAAGTTCAGCAGATCGTGCAGGAGAACAAAGCGCTTGAAACGGCGGAGGAGGTTGAGTTCTTACAGACCAAAACTATCCCAACACAAGAAGCAATGCAGGAGCTTGAGAAGTGGAGGGAACCGTTGTCAGACGAGGTAGCGTCATTGGTTAAAGAGTTGGAGGTGGTGGAACCACCGACTCAAGAAAAGCTGGATAAATTGGCTGAAGAACCTAATGCACCGGTGATCGAATACGTGCCCAGTCTGGTGGTGTTTACCAGAAAACAGGGAACTGGAAGAAGACGGGCTCGCATCTGCGCATGTGGAAACTTTATTTCCACAACAGCGGCCACTGAATATGAAGGGCCTAGGTCCTTAAGTCGTCACTCGCTGTATGCTCCTGGGTTGGACTCAACAACCTTTCGGTGCCAGGTAAGGCACCCTGCTTGTATGGGGTGGGTCATTGCTGGGGTGGACATTTCAAAAGCTTTCCTGACGGCGCCGATGAACAAGGCGCAGAGAGAAGGTCGTCTGGTGGTAGTGCAGCCCCCAAGGGCGGCGGTTAAGCTGGGCCTTTGCACAAAGGAGGAGCGGTGGATTGTGAGAAAAGCCCTGTATGGGTTGGCAGAAAGTCCTGCAGCTTGGGTGGAGTGGCGAGATCAGCGTCTTCAGGGTATGTCTTGGGTGTCAGGAAACGGGCAAACAATGAAGTTTCAGAGGTCCAATGCTGACCCAAGTCTGTTTCTAATTATGGCCCAGGCGAAGCCGGAAGGCGCAAGTGAGTTGGTAGGGACAATGGGTCTTTACGTGGATGATTTCTTGCTGGCCGGGAACATGACAGTGATCCGGGAAGCACTGGAGCAGATCAGGAAGGGGTGGAAAACCTCAGAACCTGAATTCTGCGGTCCAGGCTGTGGTGATGGATTCCTGAAGTTTTTGGGTGTCCAGATTTGGTATAGGAATGGCAGCTTCTTTCTGAATCAAGAGGATTTCGTGAGGGATTTGCTGAATAGACGTGGTTACCAGATTGATGAGTCTGGAAAGGGCAGTAATCTGCCGATGGTTAAAGAAACCCCTGGTGAAGAGGAGGAAGTGGATATTCCTTCTCTGAGGGCGGCTCAAGGGGCTGTGGGGGAGTTCCTCTGGGTGGCAATAAAAACGAGGCCTGATTTGGCGTTCTGTACAAGCCAGCTGTCATTGTGGACTTCTCGAAGGCCGAAATATGTGGTGAAGAAAGCCGAAGAGGTCTTCAGGTATCTTGCTGCAACCCCAACTTTGGGGATAACTTACGGAAGAATTGCTGCTGGGACAACAGAAAGAAACTCGCTTTTACGTTACGCCAGGGGTATCAAGGTGGTTGAGTCCTACGCAGATGCAAGTTTTGCAGCAGGTGAAAACGAGAAGAGCCATTCTGGTGCTGTGGTGGTATGGGGTGATAGTCCCGTTATGTGGGCCACGCAGCGACAGTCAACGGTGGCTTTGAGTACAACGGAAGCTGAATTACATGCGTCGATTGAGGGTGCAACAATGATTCAATCGTGTACTCCTATAATTGCTTCCTTGGTGGGAACTGGTGAAGAGTCGTTGCAAAAGGTGCTGTATACTGATTCGGTATCAACATGTTCAATTATTCAATACCCTGCTGGTAGCTGGAGACCCAGACATCTGAGAATTCGAGCGGCTGGTGTTAGGTCTCTAGTGGATCGTGGATATATGGTGATTGCACACCTTCGAGGAGAGTATATGCTTGCAGATCTGTTAACAAAATTGATGAGTGGGCAGGTGTAAGCTAACCTGAAGGCGCTTTGGGGTCTCCAAATGTTGGTTCAAGGAACCGATCTGAGAAAAGCTACTCTTGCTGTGGCGGTCATGATGGTGGCTGCATCTTCAAGGGATGGCGAAAACTCAGGTAGAAGAGGAGACATTGGCGCCTGGTTTGTTCTGCTCGGAAGATGGGGTGTGTAGAGCCTCTAACATATCTACGGTGACGGTTCTGGCACAAGGTATTGAAATGGTTTTGAACAATCTCGATTTCGCTGTGTATTTGGTGGCGACGATTTTACTCTGAGAGGTGGTCCGTTATGGTCTACAGCGACTTCGGCGTTGGCTGTGGGGCCGGAAAGTGGTGGTCATTCCCACGAGTGCCACTCTGTATACAACGGTGGGTGGAAACTGTATGCATGCAAGCAGTGACTGTGATGTTCTGCGTTATTCACAACCCAGGGCCAGAACGCTATGTAAGCGCTGTGTCAAAAAGGAGTGGGTGGTGGACGCTGACTTCCTTGGTGAGGAACGGTTTACTGGAACGTAGACCTTGTCCGTGTGAGGTGAAGAGATCCTCAGCGGTAAAGTTCGGCCAACGTGCTGACAGTTCGTCCTGGAAGACGTTAAACCACAAAATTCATTTCATGCAGCGGGCTGTCGCCGAGAAAGGGCAGCTTTTGGCCGAAGGTTTGCACCTCCAGAAAATGTGTCCTAGAAAATCCTAGGACAGGGGGAGCGTGGAGCTGCAGTTTGTATTTCAGGCAGTGTATTGGAGGTTGTAAAAGGGTCAATGAACCCGTGATTACTTTGGCTCAAGACGGCCATGTGCCAGTCAACAAAAAGGTTTTGTGCGTTTGTGTTGTTGGTTGGTTGGTCCAGGGTGAAATTCAGGGCTTCGGTTGGGGTTGACTGTTTGGTTCCTTGTCCCCCTTCGGTTGCCCCCCGTACCCTAAACCCTAAACCCTAAACCCTAGAGCACCTTCGCGCTCCTGTGGAGTGCTCTGACCGACCGTGTTGACCTTTTGTCAAGCAGACGGCCTCCCCTACTACTTGACCCCACCTCACATGACATGGGTTTAGGGTTTAGGGTTGAGGGTTTAGGGTTTAGGGTTTAGGGATCCAATAGTCATTCTGATAGTGACTATGCTTTTTGACTACGCTTCGCGGCCAGGAATCTTTGAGTTGAACACTTCTCACCCATCAAATGAGGTTTAGATTGTACCAGCGAGCTTGAGCGTCCCCAAGGTCTTGTTCACAACAAAGGTTTAAGTACCGCAAAGATCTACCCTCATCCAGGATCTTGTTCTGCGCCCCAATTTTACATCCTCAACTACTCAGGAACGTGCAACGCCCAAAGCAAGCAAGCGCAGCTTTTTCAAGGCAGCTGTTGTGAAGATGACTACTCGCAGCTGCGGTCATTGTTGTGAAGCTCACACATCCCACAAATTGTGAGGTTCCCTGAGTATTTCAGGGCCGCACGCTCCTGTGCTGCAGTGTGGCGCCCTGCAGGGGATTCTAAGGCTTGTGGGTGCTGCCTGGAGGTTACTACGCCGGGTCACACGCTCACACAGAAACGGCAGGAGACAGGCTTGGGGCAGTGCGCACAAGCCTGTAAAAGGAGCTTTGGGCGAAACGGTGGCGAAGCCAATGCAACGGCTGCATCTGGGTAGCAGTCGCAACTGAACATTCTTGCAAGGCGACGTGCACCCATCTCAGTGGCAAGCCTCCGGCCCACATCTGGGTGACCACCGTAACATTCTAGGAGGCTTAAGCATGCTTCTGGGACCGACCCTTCGAAGCTCGGATCAGACGCGAAATGCTCCGGAAAGTGCCTTCTTCAGCAAGGGCTTCCCTTGGTGTTCCCAGGCCACTCAGCCTCGATCGTGTCTGGTG